AGTGATTTCTGTGAGGAATGCCACACATGTGATGATCAGAAAACTTTATCTTTGTTTAAAGTAAAATATTGATTAGTGAGATGTATTTTATTTACTTGAGCATTTCAAACAAGTTCTTAAGAAGCTACTTAATGAGTTGTCATGCAACAAATAAGTAGGATCAACCTGACTTGCTTCCCATTTTTGCTTATATGACAGACACTGCCTGGGCTAGAATTCACTGTTCTGCCTCTGTGTCTTGAGTACACAGGTGTGTGCCACCATGCCCAGATTCTTGTTTTTTGCTTGTTTTATGTATATGAGAGCTCTATCTGCATGTATGCCTGCACGCCAGAAGAGGGCATCAGATCAATACTATAGATGGTTGGCAACCACCATGTGGTGCCAGCAGTTGAACTCAGGAAGAGCACACAGTACTCTAAACCGCTGAACCATCTGTCCAGCCTCAGAGTATTGATTTTAAAGATGTCCAGGATAACTTAATTCTGGTAGTTCTTCTACTCAAGTGTTGTTTTGTTTTGTTTTTTGTTTTCCATGTCAAAGAAGCCGTTTGTGTACTGGATATTGACCTTCTGTACTTAGCTTCTGATATGTGAAACATTAAAAATTTTTAGTACATTTATTTATTGTGTTTGTGTGAGACAGGTGGGGGAGGTTTCTAGAGCACTGTTCCAGGGAGTTCAGACTTAACTTACTGTAGTTGATTCTTTTCTACTGTGTATTAGGTCCAGGGGATTAAACTCAGGTAGTCAAGCATGGCATAAAGTGCCTCATTCTTGAGTCCTCTTGTCAGTGCCCCATGTAGAGCACTTTAACACAGTTTTTGTGTCTTCAGCTGGCCTTTGATAATTATGGTAAGAAAAATATTATCTGAGCCTTTCACGTTACACACTCAGGAATCAGAGGCAGGTGGCATTGAGGCCAGCCTAGTCTACAGAGTGAGTTCCAGGACAGCTAGGGCTACACAAAAAATAGTTACTCCCATGTCTATTTTTCTGAAATTCATTTAGATAGATAATAAAAGGTAAGTGCAGGCATCCCTCTATTTGCTGGTTCCACCTTTGTGGATTCAACCAACCACAGGTAGTAAATAATTTTTGGAAAAAAAACTGCATCTGTTCTGAACACATACACATTTTTTTAAGGCCATCATTATCATCTATACCTATTTATAAAGCATTTACATTGTGTTACTGCCAGTAACGTAGAGGTAAAGTATATGGGAAGGTGTCTCTAAGTTACATGCAAAACCTATGCTATTTTACATAAATAACTTGACCACCTGTAAACATGCATATCCTGGGAGATTTCCGGAACCAGTCTCCTTGTGGATACACAGGGACAACTGTACCAGATAACTAATGTTTCTATTTTCTGGGAATTTTCTAGAATGTAAATATTTTCTTTTCTTTTTATTTTTGTTTTTTATTATTAGTTACATTTTATTAACTCTGTATCCCCGCTGTATCCCACTCCCTCATTTCCTCCCAACCCCTCCCTCCCTCCCTCATCTCCTCCCTGCCCCTTTCCAAGTCCACTGATAGGGGGGACCTTCTCCCTTTTCATCTGACTCTTTTATCAGGTATCTTCAGGACTGGCTGCAAAGTGTAAATCTTTTCTTGTTTTACTTTTTATGCTTATGTTAGATTTAAGATATTGATGAAATACTAGTCATATTTTAGTTCCTAAATACTAGTAGCTTTCTTTACTTATGCTAAATATTCTTGATGCAACCAAGAGCCTCTCTGCCACTGGATTGTAGCACTAACTCCTTATTGAGTGCTGATTTACCTGTTTTTAGACACAAATTGAACTTTACTCACAGTAGGTTTTAAAGCTACCTTTAAGTTCTGTTCTGAATACAAAGTTGCATTTTTAAAAGTGTATGTTTTAGACTTGTAGAAAGAGAGTGCTTATAAGCTTAATGTTGTATTTTGTGATGTGCTTATTGTTTATAATTCTAGTGTCTTAAAACTGGGGTGTTTAAGAAGAATTAAAACATTGACTTAGGATTCTACTTTTAGTGGCTAAATTGAGGATTTTTTCTTTTTTAAAGAAAAAAAAAATGTTTTCTTTTTCCCCTCTAGGCAGCCATGGATTTTTGCATGAACATGAACACAAAAGCAAACAGGAAGAAACTGGTCCGGGCACTCTTCATAGTTCCTAGACAAAGGTCAGTGTTTGGAGCACTATCAGTTGACAGTGATGTAAGATCAGCATTGAGTTTCTTTACAGTGATCACTTGATTAAGTTTTGTTAGCTCAATAGGCATGTTATATTTTCCAGGAATTTATTAACTTTTGTCTTTTTTGCTCTAATAGAAATATATTCTTCTAATATTTACATGCTGTTTTAATAAAATATTTAATATTTTAAGATAAAGTATTTAATAATAAAATAACTTGGTGACTGTGTGTTTGGTGCTACCTGCTATAATCCCAGCACTCAGGAGAAGAGTGAAGCAGGTGGATTGGGCATGTGAGAACACCCTAGGCTATCTATGCAGGTGAGACTCTTAACTCAAGAAACCAAAACAGGCCAGGATCAGTGGCATATTCCTTCAGTCCTAGCATACTAAGGCTTGACGCAGGTGGGTCTCTATGAGTTCAAGACCAGCCTAGTCTATATAGCAACCTTCAGGCCAGTCAAGGCTACATGATTAGACCCTTTCTCCAAAATAAATAAAATAAAATAAAATAAAATAAAATAAAATAAAATAAAATAAAACCAACCAACAAACAAAAACCAAACCAAACAAAGAAAAATACCAGATATAGTAGGTGGTAGACACCTTTAATCTCAGCACTTTGAGGCAGAGTCAGGCAGATCTTTTTGAGGAGTCAGACGCAGTTACTTTACTTCAAGGCCGGCCTGGTCTATGTAGTGAAATCCAGGATGACTAAGGCTATGAAGAGACCCTCTCTTAAAAAACAAACAATTAGGACAAAACAACAAAAACAAGGGTTGGAGAGATTTTTAACAAGAGGTTAAAAAATCCTGGCTGTTCTTTCAGAGGTCCTGAGTTCAATTCCCAATTCCCAGCAACCACATTATGGCTCAACCATCTGTAATGAGATCAGGTGCCCTCTTCTGGCATGCAGGCACACATGCAGGCAAAATACTGTATGTATAAATAATAAATAAATAAATAAATAAATAAATCTTTAAAAAAAATCCCTAGATAATAAAAGTATTAATGGCTAGAAGCAGTTGGTTAATTAGTTTATATTTTTCCCCCAAAGGGGAAAAAAAAGCATAAATTATGTATTATATAGAATTTTTGGGAAAGTTTATTTTTGTATAGATATAGTAGTTTAGTGTACGTAATTTTTAAGTTTAAATAAAAATTTCAAGTTCTTTGAGTTATAATGTTAGAGAAGAGATTTCACTTAGTAAAATTGAAAGCTACATTAATGGTGGTGGTGTTAATAAGTCAAGTCCTCAGTTTTATAATGCAGAGAGAATTTTGATGCTCTGTTATGCTAATTGAAAATCTCTACCTATAACTTTCAAAACTATTCAGACCATTTACCTAGATCTGTAGGAGATCCATTTCTGTTATTGGAGTATTCTTTCATAAGACAAGAGGTTAAATATTGAAGCTGGCTTGGAATTCCTTATATGGCCCAGTCTGCCTCAAATTTGAGTTTTTCCTGCTTCAAACTTCTGAAGAGTAGGATTATAGGTATGGTCACTGTGCCTAGCTATTTCTGTTTAATAAAAAATTAAGAAGTTTGTTGGGGTGGAGATGATTCAGTGGTTGGAAAGACTTGATCTCCCAAGGAGGACCCAGGTTTGATTCCGAGCATCCACACAGTGGCTTATAAACCTCTGTAATTCCAGTTTCGGGATCTAATCTAATGCCCTATTCTGCTATGACATTGGTGGGCAGTAGGCGTACATGTGGTACAGATTCATGCACCTAAACAAAATACTCATACATGTTAAATAGAATAAATGAATCTTATAGGAAAAGAAATTTGTTAACTACTGTGATAACTTACAGTATTGCCAAGATTGGTTCTTAACTCCAAAGATAAGGATTTTAAAGGATTTTATTGAATATTTTCTGGCTCATTGATGCATAGAGACTAGAGTTATTTAATACTGCCAAAATTTTCTCAGTGAAACCAAATCCTTGCTTAACTTTTTTATTTTTAAAAAATTATTTTCTTTTGTTATGGGTTATAGGTATTTTTGATTGCTTGTATGTCTGTGTCATATGTGCACCTGCTATCCACAGAGGCCAGAAGAGGATACTGGATCTCTTGGAACTGGAGTTAGATGTAGTGATGAGCCACCATGGATGGGTCCTAGGAATGGAACCCAGTCCTTAACCAGTGCTCTTAACCTCTGAGCTATCTGTCCAGCCTCTCTTTATCTTTTTAAAAGTCTTTTCTCAGCAGTGTTAATATGAGCATGTTTTTTCATCTTAGTAGATAGAGGGAGCAGGAATACTAACAGTAAGATAAAATTAATAATAAAATTTAGAAAGATGACTTCCTGTTGTCTATGACCATAACATATGAAACTGTTTATTTTATCAAATCTAAGGTGCTATGGATTAATGTGCACCATTATCTTATGTACAAGTTATTAAGAGAAAAATGTCAGCATCAAGCCTTTACAAGCAAGGCTCAGTTTTCATACAGATGAAAATAGGGATAATGTATACACCTTGAATTGATGAAAATTCAAGTCCCCCCGCCCAATATCTTAGATTGCTTTAAAAAATCTATAGGCAAACATAAATAATTACATTTTATTGATCTATTTCATGTTCAGGTGTTTACACATTTGCATGCTTGGTAAAGTGCATGTGTGGCTGTCAGAAGACAACCAAAGAGAGAGAGTTTGTTTTCTTCTTCCACTGTGTAGGTCCTGGGGATTGAACTCAGGTTGCCAGGCTTGCTGACAGGTGCCTTTTCCTGTGAAGTTGTCTTGCTGGCCCACAGAACTAATTTTTTCAGGTGATTTTACATTTTAGAAAGGAATATTTGAGCTTTGCACAGTGGCATTATTGTAGCCAATGAGGTTTATCTGAGGTGTGATTATTGTTAATTGAAAAAAAAAAGGAATTTTTTTTCATGTGTTTTTATTTGAATGAAAACATATCAGTAATTACCTAGACTTATTTTTATAATAAAACAGTAAATCAGTTTGCAAAATAAAAATGTTATTTAACAGAAGACACCATGCAGTGATGTGTCTTACCTATAGGACCAACTTCATTCTCTGTATTCTGGTGACCCCTCTAAATCAGAGTAAAAGATCTTAAAAATTTTGTATACTGTTGTTATTGTGTGTGTTATTTGTGTTTGTACATGTGCCTGCTGTGCACATGTGGAAGGCAGAGCTTGACATCTTAAGTTACTCTCTACGTTTTTTTTTTTTTTTTTTAAGCTAGGGTTTCTTACCAAATCCTGAGCTCAGATTTTACTAACCTGGCTGACTAGAGAGTGCCAGAAATCCGCCTGTCTTCCTCTTCCCTGTGCTGGGATTACAGGTACATTGCACAGCACCCACCTGTTTACACGAGAGCTGTGTGATACTCAGGTTCTCGTGTTGGAACAGCAGGCACTTTACCAAGTGAGCCAACTCCCAAGTCCTGTTATTTGTTCTTTTAGAACTAAAGTTATCTGTAAAACTCATGGTTAGAAGATTACAGTAGTCCCATTCTGCTAGAAACATTAACTTGAAAATAGTATATAATTTACAAGTTTAGAGCAGTGATCTCAACCTGTGCATCACAACTCCTTTGGGGATCTAATGACTTTTTCGCAGGAGTCACCTAAGACTATCAAAACAGATATGATTCATAACAGTAAAGTTATAGTTGTGAACTAGCAACGAAAATAATTTTATGGTTGGGGATCCCCACAACATGAGGAACTGTATTAAAGGGTCACAGCATTAGGAAGGTTGAGAACCACTGGGTTAAGGGAAAGAAAAAATGTGAATGAAAAAGGATGCATTTAAACTGGGTGTGGTGGTATAAAGCCTGGAGGAACAGAAGTTCAAGCTCATCCTCAGATGCATATAATGTTCCAGGCCAACCTGAAATAAATGAACTCCTGTCTCAAAAAAACCTTTTTTTTTTAAGTTATGTAAACTTAAACCCTGAGAAATGGACTTTGTAGTCAGTCTACTATTACCTTAGTTGCTTAAGATAAGTTGTTTACCTAAACATAGAAAACTGAAATTATGTTCATCTAATCATTAAATAATTAATTGTCCCCTATATGCTGTGATTATTATAGAAGATACAATATAATAGTGAACAGATTTCATTTTTGTATTTGTGTAGAGCTTAAAATTTGGAGGGAAGATGGATAAATAATTCTGAGTTCCATTATCAAGAATAGAAAAGCCTTTGAAATACAGAAGAAATGGAATTTGAATATTTAGTCTGGGTCAACTAACTTGAGAAGGCTATATGAAACAAGAGTTTTGTTTTTTTTTAATAATAACACCAAGGAATTGAATTAGTGCTACAAAGTATGAGTGAGGAAAACAAATCTAAAGAGCACGGATAGCAGTCTGTGTACAGACTGGAAAGAGTGTGGCTTCAAGCCATGGCAAAATCCCTTTCTTGGATTCCTGCCCTTGTCTGGAAGGCATTGTTTTATATACTATAAGCTATAGGAAGGAGGCCATATTTACTACTTTATCTCTAGCACTTAACACAATGCCTGACATGTAGAAGTTGATAAAATTGTGTGACATGTTTAGTCTTAATACACTTTTTAAATGTAGTTTTTATTTGTTTTCAGATTCGATCTTAATTCTCAATTCCTTTTGTAAAATCCAAATATGTATAGAGTGATTTCTGTACTATGACCTAATGAATACTCCTTGTCTTCCCCTCTCCTGGGAGTGGAGTGCTTTCTAGTGTGTGATTCCTTTATTTTTTTATTGGGAATGGTGACTCACCTTTTAAGCCTTAGCATAGTAGCTGTCTTGCTGAACAGCTGCCTTTATTTCCCTTGTGTAAACAGTGCTCTTCAGGTCCTTTTAGTATGTCTTCATGGAGGAAGGAACGTTATTTTCCAGTTATTTACGTGCTGCCTGTATTGTTAACCAGCCTGTGAAAACAACCAGCTCTTCCTTCAGGAGACAGGATGAGAGCTTTGGATTTTGCACATCTATAAAAGCAAGAAATGTTTTTGAACTGTACATACCTGGGCATTGTAGCTTGTGCTTGTAAGCCTAGAACTTGAGAGGCTGAGGCAGGTTTGCTCCAAGTTAGGGGTTAACCTAAGCTACACAGTAAGCCCAGGGCCAGCATGGGTCACAGAGCAAGATCTTGTCTCAAAATGAAAAACAAAAAATATATGCATTGTTTACATATGGTATTAAAAATATATTACATTCTCAAAACACGGAAGTGTAAGACAACTTTTAGTAAAAAAGAATCCCCATCTCCCCATCTACCAAAATCATGTCCCCATCTACCAAATTTCATGTCTGACGGTCTTGATTCTTACATACATCCTCAAGTTTCTTTTGCATATCAAGGAAATACAAAATTAGGTTCTTTCTATCTCCTTTTTACACATAGCGGAACCTCTATATATCTTTCATCTCAGAACTAAAAGTTTTCACATGTTCATTCTTACAAGGCTGCGTGTTTCTCTACATGAATGTACCATATTTAACCATTTTGAGCTTCCAGCCTTTCCATTGACAAAGCTATGTTTGTACTTCCTTTGCCTTGATTATTTTAGTTAGTGGTTTACTAGTTTTAGTCTTTTTCCTACCAAAACTCCCCCTAGCTTTTAGATTTATCATTAATTCTATTGTCTTACTATTATAACATTTTTTATTTTTATTTTTTATATTAATTACAGTTTATTTACTTTGTATCTCAGCTGTGGCCCCCTCTGTCATTCCCTCCCAATCTCACCCTTCCTCCCACATCTCCTCCCTGCCCCTCTCTAAGTCCACTAATAGGGGAGGTCCTCCTCCCCTTCCATCTGACCATCTGATAAACCAGGTCTCATCAGTACTGGCCGCAGTGTCCTCCTCTGTGGCCTAGCAAGGCTGCTCCTCCCTCGGGGTATGGGGGGATGCAAAAAGCCCGCCACTGAGTTCATATCAGAGACAGTCCTTGTTCCCCTTATTAGGGAAACCCCCTTGGATGTTAAGCTGTCATGGGCTATGTCTGAGCAGGGGTTCTAGGTTATATCCATGCATAGTCCTTGGTTGGAGAATTGGTCTCATGAAAGACCCCTGTGCCTAGATATATTTGGTCCTTTTGGCGCTCCTGTCCTCTCCATGTCTTACTAAATTCCCCTTCTTTCATATGCTTCCCTATACTCTGCCCAAAGTTTGGTTATGAGTCTCAATATCTGCTTTGATACACTGATAGGTAGAGTCTTTCAGACGCCCTTTATTGTAGGCTACTGTCCTGTTTCTTTTTTTCTCCTACTTCCAATGTCCATCCCATTTGTCTTTTAAGTGAGGGTTGATCCTCTTACCCTGGGACCTCCTTCTTGTTTAGCTTCTTTAGGTGTACCGATTTTAGTGTGTTTATCCTATCTTATAGGTCTAGTATCTACTTATAAATGAGTATATACTGTGTGTGTCTTTCTGCTTCTGGGATACCTCACTCAGGATGATCTTTTCTAGTTCCCACCATTTACCTGCAAATTTCATGTTTTCCTGCTTTTTAATTGCTGAGTAGCATTCCATTGTGTAAAAGTACCACAATTTCTGTATCCATTCCTCCGTTGAGGGACATCTGGGTTGTTTCCAGGTTCTGATTATTACGAATAAAGCTGCTACGAACATGGTTGAACAAATGTCCTTGTTGTGTACTTGAGCATATTTTGGATATATGGCTAGGAATGGTATAACTCGATCTTGAGGAAGCACTATTCCTAATTGTCTGAAAAGGTGCCAGATTGATTTCCAAAGTGGTTGTACAAGTTTACATTCCCCCCAGCAGTGGAGGAGCGTTCTCCTTTCTCTACAACCTCTTTAGCATGTGTTGTCACTTGAGTTTTTGATCTTACCCATTTTGATGGGTGTAAGGTGAAATCTCAGGTCGTTTTGATTTGCATCTCCCTGATGGCTAAGGACATTGAACATTTCTTTAAGTGTTTCTCTGCCATTTGATAATCCTCTATAGAGAATTCTTTGTTACGCTCCATACCCCATTTTTTAAAAAATATGGAATGCTTCACGAATTTGCGTGTCATCCTTGCGCAGGGGCCATGCTAATCTTCTCTGTATCGTTCCGATTTTAGTATATGTGCTGCCGAAGCGAGCACTGCAATACTTTTTTTTTTTTTTTTTTGCTTTTATTTGTATTCATTTAAGTCTTTGGGGTTATTTCATTTATTTTGTTTCTTTTATGTTACTTCATATATGTCTTTGCCTTTGAATGTGCATCTAGTGGTTCTGTAGTTTTGACATGTGGTGACTTAATGTTTTCTGGGAATTCTGAATCTTTCTGAAACTTATACAATTTGGCTTCTCTCTGAAGAAGATAGTTTGGTCCCTAGTGATGCTAGAATTGAAAGAACCTATCTTTCTCCTGTCATTCTATTTCTCAGTTTTCTCACTGTCATAAATTCAGAAACCTTGCTTTATCTGTTGAATAAGAGGGTTAACTGGTAGCCCTCAAAGGGCTGTGTGTGTGTGTGTGTGTGTGTGTGTGTGTGTGTGTGTGTGTGTTTGTGAGTCTGTGATAGGAACACAAGAGTACTGTTTACTATAAGCTGTATAAGCTAGTTAGTCTATTCTGGGTTAAGAAGTGTTGGAGTAAAAAGTTACTCTTTGAGCTGTCTGGGCCATATAATGTTAGCTTGAACTCACTTGAGAGAAAAAGCAAGAAAATTGTTTTTATCATCTATTCAGACTCTTAGCTTCCTTAGCCATCCATGCATATCTCTTTGAGCTTCCTGCCCTAAAATAGTGCTCTTTCGTATGATACTTTGTTCATCACCCTCTCTTAATCACCCTCCCTGAAGAGTCAGCTTCTTACAGTTTTGTTTTGTTTTTTTTTTTTCTGTGGCTGGGATTACTTTTATCTAACCTGACTTGGTCAAAAGTATGTTAGTGAAACCAGAATAGATTGATTAGTAGTTATTTTACTATGACTATATGAGTCTATAGGTTATATATAGATTTTGGTAG